TGTTTTATAGTGAAAAGACTAACAAAAGTTTAAAATAATGTTTTTGTAAGATCTTTGACCCCTTTCATACGAAGGGTCCGATCAGGTCTGTCTGTCAGTTTTTTAGTCAGACCTGATCGGACCTTCCCCCCCATTCAACCCTATGGACTGGCGGGTGTAAACACACTTGTGTCCGTTTACACCTGCCTACTTCCAATCCGATCTGGTCTGCTAAAAAAAAAAAAAAAAAAAGAAAAAAAACCAGAAGAGAATCCATCCCCCTCCATCTAGGTGGATCAGATCAGAGGGCAGTTGGGTGCAAACGAACATCCAAGTCCATTTACACCCATCACTCCATAGTACAGAGCGTGCTTGGTCCGTGCTCTGCATAAACTGAGTGGACATAGACCTGCCATCTGCCTGCTCTGCACTGATCAGCAAGGGATCAATGGACAGATCAAAGGAGTCCACCCTGTGTGAAAGGGGCCTTAATGTAATTAAGGCAGCATTTGACAATAAAGCAGGCAGTGGGCAGAAACATATCAAGAGAGAATTACAGAAACTGCCACTGCTGACCTTTTTTTTTTTTTTAATGCGTGTTGCCTGATTGCTATGGTGACCTTTGAGTTTATATTTAGAAACAATAAAGTATAACAATAACTAAAAAATAATAGAGAAACAAATTTACAGATGTATTCTGATCCTCCATGGTTCATAAATCGGTTCTGTGCAGGCTGAATCTGGGCTTGTTATTATCTTCAACGTTTTTTTACTTCATCAAAGTCTGTTGATATTCTTGCTTCTAAATTCATATGTTTGATTTTCTTTATCATATAATCATTGTGGAATATGACATCACTTCCTGATTTAAGCCTGGGTTCACATACAGTATATACGGGGCCAGTTTGCAGAACGATTTGTATAAAAGTCTGGTGCGATTTCATTCAGTGGTTCAGGTGCAATTCCAATGCGAATTGTTAAAGTGTATGACATTAAAAGTCGCACCTGAACCAGACTGAAAATAGCGGAGGACTCTTTTAAAAATCACACTGCGGCCGGCCCACACATATGTGAACGGGCTCCACAAGAAACCCCTTTGGTTCATATGTCATGAGAATCTAAGCGGTTCAAAAAGCATCCAAATTCACATATCTGTGACCCAGGGTATAGTGTTACCTATAATTTTGTGCATTCATATCAGTACTTTGTTCTGTTAGCTCTGTTTTAACATGATTAAGGGACAGGATTCTGAAATATGTCAGTTTTTTTTTTAAATGCCTATTTACACTGCTGTATCTTTACATATATTGCATTTTGCTTCCAATTTATTTTAAAGTGGTTGTAAACCCTTACATTTACCCAGTGAAGTGACTTGCCTCAAGTGATACACAGAGATGAAACAAATCCTCCTACATAAGTTGTACCTGTCGATATTCAGTCTTCTTTTCCTTACATCCGTTCAAATCTTGTCTGAGAGTTAAAAAAAAGGGGGGCAGAGAGTTGAAATTACATACAACAGAGCACAGTGAGAAGAGCTCTGACAGCTGATTGGAGGAAAGAGACATACCCCTCTTCACACAGTTCACAGGAACAAAGCTGAGGCTGTCAATCTGCTGGAGGTCCCTCTCTTGTCACCATTTTTCTTTTGGTGTCAGGAAAACGTGTCAGAAATGATTCATGCTAACAGCAGAGGAACAAAGCAGTAGACAGAGATGACACTTAAGGGTTTATTTACTAAAGCTGGAGTGTGCAAAATCAGGCTCACTTCTGCATAGAAACCAATCAGATTCCAGGTTTTATTGCTAAAGCCTAATTGAACAAGCTGAGGTTAGAAGCTGATTGGTTTCTATGCAGAAATGAGCCTGATTTTGCACACTCCAGCTTTGACCACTTGGCATACGCGCTATAGCCGAATGACGGCTACAGCGTGGTTGTCCAGGTCTGGGAGGGTGCCATATGACGTCCACACCCAGAACGCTCCCTCTTGCACGCCCCCAGCGGCGTGCACCTGGCGATCTCCGTGATCACTGTGTCCTATGGATACAGCTGATTACGTGATGTGGTAAAAGGCCAATCACAATGGCCTTTTACCACGTGATCAGCTGTGTCCAATGACATAACAGATCACAATGTAAATACAGTTGCTGGTTGTCAGCAGCACTTTTCTCACGCTGTCACAGCATGAGGAAAGTACTGCCGATAACTGGCAATTGTCAAACAACAGATCGTCACTGATGATCAGTGCCCTTATAATCAGTGCCGCCCAGCAGTGCCAACCACCAATGCCCAGCTGTGCCTCCCACCAGTGCCCAGAAGTGCCTACCACCACTGCCCAGCAGTGCCCCCTATCAGTGCCACCCATCAGTGCTGCCCAGCAGTGTCCATCAGTGCCCCCCATCAGTGCCCCCCATCAGTGCCGCCAGTCCGTGCTGTCAGTCACTGCCACTCGTCAGTGTCACCCATCAGTGTTGCCTACCAGTGCCCATCATTGCTACATATCTGTGCAGCAGCATCAGTGCCACCTCATCAGTGCCACCTATCAGTGCTGCCTATCCATGCCACCTCATCAGTGCCTATCAGTGCCACCTATGAGTGCTGTCTATCAGTGCCTATCAGTGCCTATCAGTGCCCATCAGTTCTGCCTATCAGTGCAGCCTTATCAACGTACATCAGTGAAGGAGAAAAAATACCTGTTTGCAACATTTTATAATAGAAACAAAGAAAAACTTTTTTTTTTAAATTTGTTCCTCTTTTTTTGTTTATAGTGCAAAAAATAAAACACCCAGGGGCAATAAACCACTTGCCCTCCTGAGAATTTACCCCCCCCCCTCCCCCCCTTCCTGACCTGGCCATTTTTTACGTTACGGTGCTGACAATTGCGCAGTCATGCAACGCTGCACCCAAATTAAATTTGGGTCCTTTTTTCCCACAAATTGAGCTTTCTTTTGGTGGTATTTGATTGACTGTGTGTTTTTAATTTTTTGCGCTATAAAAAAAAACACCTACAATTTTAAGAAAAAACTATATTTTTGCCTTTTTGCTATTAAACATGTCCAGTAAAAAAATTTTAAAAATCAAATTTCGTCAAAAAGTTAGGCCAAAATGTATTCTGCTACATGTCTTTGCTAAAAAATAATCCCAATACGTGTAAATTAATTGGTTTACGTGAAAGTTATAATGTTTACAAATGGCAGTATAGATACTGGAATTTTTTTTTTTACTAATAATGGCAGCGTCCAGCGACTTATAGCGGGACTGCGGCGGGCATTCTGACACTGGGGGGGAACTGACTTGGTGTCACTCACATCCCCAGTGACACCAATACAGTGATCAGTTCTAAAAAAAAGCACTGACACTGTACTAATGGCACTGGGCAGGAACGGGTTAACAGGAGGGGCGATCAAAGGGTTAACTGTGTTCTGGGAGTGTTTTACTGGGGGACGGTGTTTTTTGCTTCACAGTAAGCACACTGCTCTGGATGGCTGTGAAATTTATAGAATGGCTTATGAATTTTGTTTGTCGTCAATTTATATAAATGTATCTTAGACCTTCATGAAAGCTTGTCTACTCACAGAACCAACATCCTTAAAAGAAGCAAAGCATTACTCAGCCACCATTAAAATGAACACGTGGTGTAGCATTGTTTGTGCCTTTGTGTATACTGCATAGTTCCACATATCATACTTACTATCCAGCAAGCAGATCCCTACTGTGACCTAGACAACGGAATGTTCGGGTATGTTGATAAGTAATGCCAATAGTAGTTGGTTGGTCTTGTTCTCATACCTTGTGGCTCACGTTATAAATGCCATCTTAGATCACAGCTGTTCTACATTCCAACTCCACTGTGTACGAATAGCTCTACAAGTATTGTCGATGCTGGACAACTGCAGAATTCCAGTTTGCTATCCTGGGTGTCACTAAGAGACAGGGATAAACGAAATAATTAGTCGGATCTATTTCATTTTGCCAAGGTTAAGATGTCAGTTTCTGAGTCAGTGGTTTTACAGTTTAGGCTGTATGGACTCATAATACAGCTCTGCGTAAAATGAAATGATAATTTAATGATGTCGTTTGCAAAAACCTTACTTGGAAGTTGTATAAATGTGAAGAAATCTGGGATATATTATATATTGACTTGCCTAATACATGGTTACTACCCAAATTTCAGTGGGTCTCCACTTCATTCCTTTAATTATAGGCCAGTATTTCTGTTTTTGTGAAATTTCTAATTATGTTTATGAGTGTATTAACGCCAAATGCACACTGCTTCATTTCTGTGAGATGTCTGTGGCCCCTTTTGGAGAGTTTTTTGCTTACTTCTTGAGTCGTGACCACACAGGAAAAGAGGTGAAGTCTTCCTAATGAGTTTACTGACAGTGAAGTTGTAAGCAGAAGTTCTAACCCTTCTGTACAAACGAATTAAAATGTTGTGCCTAAAAAAAATCTAAAGGTATACACTTTTTAACATTAACTCATGTATAAATACATATAATTATTCACATCTATACATCACATTTACATTTGCTTGGGAGGCTCAGGCAGCACTGGAAAGAGAATTAGGCTGACTATATACTGAATGAATTTCGGACAAAATTCACTTCCTGGGTAGCCCTGTCAGCACCTATTCATCCTTCATCTTTTGATTGAATGAGTCAGATGAAAAATTGTTAGCTTAATGGTAGCTACATCCAGACAACTACCTGTTCAGGTAGTCTGACAGCCACTGAGAGATTTGTACATTGTGGATGGAGGAATCTGGTAAATGTGTGTATGGCCAGCCTTACGGCATGTGTAGGTAAGCAAATCTGGTGTACTTTCTGGATTTTGAGGTAAGTTTAACTGCTTCCCGACCACCTTATAGCAGAAATACTGCTACAGGGAGGAAAGGGTGCGCAAAATCACGTATCTATACATGATTTTGCATTTCCGGGTAGGGGAAATTCGCGGCCGCAGCTGTCAATCACCAGGTCCCAGCCAGTGATTATTTGCTGGTGCCCGGTGATTACCGAGGATCTCTGATGGGGAGAAGGACTTTTTGTTTACTAACGCTTCTCCTCCCTGTAAACTCAGGCACACTGCTTTGGATGGCTGTGCACAGCACAGCCATCCAAAGCAGTGTGCTTACAGTGAAGCACATTGACAAACACTCCCTGCACACAGTTAACCCTTTGATTGCCCCTCATGTTAACCCCATTGCTGCCCAGTACGATTAGTACAGTGTCAGAGCTTTTTTTAGCACTGATCACTGTATTGGTGTCACTGGGGATGTCAGTGACGATGTCAGTGACACCAAGTCAGTTCCCCCCATTGTCAGAATGTTTGCAGCAGTCTCGCAGTCGCTGATCGCCGCCATTACTAGTTAAAAAAAAAAATTCCAGTATCTATACTGCCATTTGTAAATGCTATAACTTTCACGTAAACCAATTAATTTACACATACTGGGATGTTTTCTTTAGCAAAGACATGTAGCAGAATACATTTTTGGCCAAAATTTATGAAAACATTTTATTTTTTTTATTTTTTTACTGGACATGTTTAATAGCATAAAGTCAAAAATATACTTTTTTTCTCAAAATTGTCAGTCTTTTTTTTTATAGCGCAAAAAATAAAAAACGAACAAGCGATCAAATACCACCGAAATAAAGCTCAATTCGTGGGGAAAAAAAGGACATAAATTTCATTTGGGTGCAGCGTTGCATGACCACGCAATTGTCAGTTAAAGTAACGCCACGACGTAGCGCAAAAAAAAAAGTTTCTCACTAAAAATAACATTTTGTTTCTGGAGATTCCAAAAATCTTAGTGTAGGCTTCTGGAAAAATCAGTGAGCCAAGCATAAAAGTAGGAAATTACATCTCGGGGGAGGTGTTCTGTACACCATCTATGTACAGAATGCCTCCAGGTAGCCATATTGACCTGCTTTATAAAGAAAAGGACAGTGCTGCAGATTGAAAATAAAAAGTAATTTTTAATAAAATTCAAACAAAATATTACTTTTGTCGCAATTATATACACTATATATTTTTTTTTTTTGCCCACGAAAGTGGAGTTACCCTTTAGGCGTATACCTGTGCAAAGTGCCCAGTTTACCTATATGGGATGCACAGGTGTACTGTTTCTTGGGCATGTACCCACACGCACCCGCACAGATGTCAAACAGGGAGCAGCAGTTGTGTCCTAGTAGACATTAATGTTATTGCCTGCGTGTGGATGCATGAAACATCTATGCATCCTGTGCAGAAAAATATGGTGCTTCACACAGTTGTACGCTTAACCGCTTTCAATACTGCTACATGGCGGCACATGTGCGCAAAAGCACGTATATGTATATTCGGGTCGGGGACATGCGCCCTACCCACGCCGCTATTCACAGCCTCAGCTGTCAATCACCGGTCAATCACCAGTGATTGAGGAGTAATACCGACGGAGGGAGAGAACTGTATGTACAATACAGTTCTCTCCCCATCAGTTCCTGCACACTGCTATGCATGGCTTTGCATAGCAGAGCCATGCATTGCAGTGTACTTACAGTGAATCACACGAACACAGCACTTAGTAAAACAGCACACAGTTAACCCTTTGATCGCTCTGGATGTTAACCCCTTCCTGCCCAGTGTCATTAGTACAGTGTCAGTGCTTTTGTAGCACTGATCACTGTATTGGTGTCACTGGGGATGTCAGTGACACCAAGTCAGTTCCCTCCAATGTCAGAATGCCTGCCGCAGTCCCCCAGTCCTGCTAAAATTTGCTGATCGCCGCCATTGCTAGGAAAAAAAAAAAAAAATCCCAGTAGATATACAGCCATTTGTAAACACTATAACGTTCACGTAAACCAATTAATTTACATGTATTGGGATTTTTTTTTTAGCAAAGACATGTAGCAGAATGCATTCTGGCCTAAATTTATGACAAAAGTTGATTTTTTAAAATTTTTTACTGGACATGTTTAACCACTTCCAGTCCGGATACTTTCACCCCCTTCCTGACTAGGGCAATTTTTAGCTTTCAGCGCTATCACACTTTGAATGACAATTGCGCGGTCATGCAACACTGTATCCATATGAATTTTTTACCATTTTTTTTTGAGACAGATAAAACTTTATTTTGGTGGTATTTATTCACCACTGGGATTTTTATTTTTTTTGCTATGTAAATGAAAATGTCCACAAATTTTGAAAAAAAGTGTTTTTCTTATAAAATTTTGCAACTAAATAATATTTCATCATAAATCTTGGCCAAAATTTATTCCGTTATCTTTTTAGTAAAAAAAATAAAAAATAAGCCAAATGAGTTTATAACCAAAAATTATAATTTTTAAACATTTTTTTTACATTTTTATTTTTTTTTTATATTATTATTTATTTTATTATTATTTTTTTTACATACTGTCAGCCTAGCTGTACACTGTCACCATGGTGACACTGTACTACTTTTGGGGGGTGATGAAGATTTTTTTTTTTTTACACTGATTGCTTTTACACCCATATAGGATGTAAAAGCAATGATTTCTCTTTCTCTCTGTCTGCATTCTTGCAACCATTGAGAACTACTGAGTGAGCTGTGATTGGTCACAGCTTGTCACATGGTACAAGGCTGTTGTGAATAGCCTTATACCATGTGACCTCTGTGATCATTCACAGATTTCACACGTAGTAAGCCATGATGTCACAAGTGACATCTTGCTTACTACTTTGCATGTGATCACTGATTGGCCAATCAGTGATCACATGATCGGGACCTTGTAGAGAGGTCCCGTCCGACGTTCAGTGTTTCACTGTGTCCGGAGGACACAGCGGGCACCGGGTTGCGGTGCTGCGCGCTCCCGGGGAGTGTGCACAAGCAGGGTGCGGGGGGGCCGTTTATATACAATGGCCAGTCGGGAAGTGGTTAATAGAAAAAAGTCAAAAATATTGTTTATTTTTTTTCAAAATTGTCGTTTTTTTTTTTTTTTAGAGCACAAAAAATAAAAATGCACAGGCAATCAAATACCACATAAAGAAAGCTCTATTTGTGGGGAAAAAAAGATGAAAATTTTATATGGGTGTGGCGGTGCATGACCACACAATTGTCACTTAAACTAATGCAGCGCCGTAATGCAAAAAATGGCCTAGTCAGGAAGGGGGGTAAATCCTCAGGAGGGCAAGTGGTTAAAGTGGAGCTCCAGTCTCCGGTGAAAAAAACCTGTCACATGTCCCAGAAGACTGCGAATGGAAGGAGGGAAGGAGAACTTCCGCTTCCGATTGCCTAGGTGATTGCAGCGGAAATGGGACTGGGTACCTATCAAAATCGGGTACCTGCTCCCCAAAGGTGCAAATCCTTAATAGGGAATGGAAGACAAGGCCTTAAAGCGGAACTTCCCCTTTTGGGTAGAGCTTCGCTTAACCCCTTGGCGCCAGCGCCTCCTGGCCCTTTAAGGGATCCAGAAGCCAGGAGGCGGGGTGGGGTTTTAGGGTCATGTGACCGCCATGATTCACTGTCACGGAGGTCACATGATCGGGAAAGGTCCCAATCAAAAGAGGAGATCGGGACCTTTCCGTGAGTACGGAACGCGTGTGCTGGGAGCGCGCAGGGCGCGCACTCTCAGCACATATGTTTTTTTTTAATAGAACGCAAATATGTGACGTCGGGACGCCGCACATTTGTGGTGGGCCAGCGCCAAGAGGTTAAAGTATGCCCATGTGAATGTGGCCTTACAGGAAAGTATCCATTTTTAGTGTTCCTACTCTTCAGCAGTTAATATAACATAGCATTTTACAGGTTTACTCTGACAAAAAAGAAAAAGTCTAGGGATTCTGAAGGTAACTGTTATATATATTTGACAGATGGAGTAATTACAGTATACTGAGAGTGGTGACACGCACAAAGTATGCATCTTCAACTTCTGCCTATAGTATTTAAAGTCACAGTAATGTCACCACAGCATCCATTAATCTTCCTCCAGAATATCAGTGCACAATGTGTCATTACATTTCAAAATAAACTCTGCAACAAGGTTAGTTCAGGTTAAGCTTTTTTTTCTTTCCACCGAACCATAGTAACTTTAGAAGTGACTGCCACTTACTAGTAAAGTTAGTTTGTAAACATGTTGAACTGTTCTAGCAAGTGGTGTGTTTTCCAGTTAGAAAAATGTGACATGGAAAAAAGGGACTTGCCACACTCCTGCTTCAGTCCATCAAGATCTCAAATGACAGCTTCTTGGGGTGGACTTTGTCCCACGTCCTTCTAGCTAGCTCTCATTTTCCCACAATGATTATAAATGTTATCACAATAATGTGTTTATAAGTCTTGTCCTCTGGCAAGCAGGTTACAGGCACATTTCATCAGTTTATTATATTATCCAGAGAAAAGGGGGGTTTTTTAGAACTTTTTGTGATTTTTTTTTTTGAGTCAGCATTTATTCTTTGACTAAGGCTCACCACACACACTACACTCTAACCATACAATCAACTTTAGGTCTACAGAAACTTAGATCTACTGATCTACCGAAAACATACAATCACGTGGGCCCTTTCTCCACATACTTGCTGGTAAATTGTACGATTAAATTATTATGTGTGGTGAGCTTAAAGTGTTCCTAAACCCAGGAGCCTGCATTCACTATATCTGGTCTCCCACAGTACACACTACATGGAAATGCAATTATTTTAGTAAATATAAACTGCTAAATACCTTTTCTGATCAGCAGTTACTGTAGGGCAGTCTTGTGACTTCTATCAGTGTCCAGCTGAGCACTGGTTACAGCTTGTAGGAGGAGTTTTCATTCTCCTGTGACTGCCCTATGAGTTTGCATAATCCCCGAACCCTGTCTGGACAGTGCTGATTGGTCTTGTGCTGATGCATGCACCCTCCCAAGAAAAAGAAAAAACTCTCTAGTAGTACACACCAAACTGAACATGTGCAGAGTGTCCCCAAAGCTGTGCACTATCAGGGGATGAAATGGGGATGGTTGAAGAAGGGGAGGATCAGAGAAGACAGGATCAAACATCCTTTTTACACAATGCAAATGATTAACCCCTTAAGTTCCAGAGTGAGTATTACAAGCTTGCTTTACTGCATATACAAACTGATTTTACTGTTGCTGGTTTCAGTGCTGTCTTGAATGGGGGGGGGAAAGGGGCCGCTCCCCTGGGCCCAATCATTGTTGTGGGGCCCATAACAGCTGTCCTATACTTGCCAACTGTACTGGTTTACATTCCTTTGTCCCTGGAAGTCTTTGTCCCAGGCTGTGCCTGATATATGTGAAGTGCTGTCACTTATGCTGTCCTGCTCTGTCCTATTGCCAGCAGCTGCAATGTGGCATTCATATGTAAATAGCGACGGCAGTGTGGCATTCATATGTAAATAGGGGCAGCAATGTGGCCTGCATATGTA